CAGCGACAGCATCCAACTACGAATTTAACGCCCATAGGGCAGTGGAAAGAGCCACGTAGATGCTGCTGCTTGTGTTGGTATTGCTGCTGCTGCTGCTGCTGTTGCTGCTGCTGCTGCTCACACCGGCAACGCGTGGGGTTCCCTCTCTAAGAAAGCAGCGGCTTCAAGGCCGAGCAGCAGCTGCTGCTTGGTGCTGCGCTCTGTGCTGAGAGGCGGCGGGGGGTAAAGAGGCTAGGAGGGGGCGAAGGAATACAGGGAAATGCTGCGGTTTCCCCTCTGTTGCTGCTGCTGCTGCTGTTGCTGCTGTTGCTGCTGTTGCTGCGCGGGGGTGGCGGTAACACAGAGCCGCCCGGCGGTAGAGAGGAAGCAGAAGCAGAGAACCCCTGTGTGGTCTGGGGTGTATGCATGCAGCTCCCCTCGGCTCCCTTGGGGTGAGTGAAGGCGGAGGAGGGGCTTGTATTGCCTCTTTCTGCTGCAGTTGAATAAGAAGAGAGAACGCCTCACCGATGAAGAACAGCGGAACCCAGCGCTGAGACAAGAGAAGCTTCGGGTGTATAGACAGCAGCAGCAAACAGTCAACATGTAAAGACAAAGATTTACATGTGTTTAGTATTGGCGGCTATGTGAAGAAGCTCAGGCCCATTGAAGCATGCAACACAAGCCGCAGCCGCTCATCCTCATGCGTGCCCGCTGCCTGGGCCCTCTTTGTGAAGGTTTTTTTACCTTTTTGCTGATATTTATTGAATTAATTTACCTTTTAAAAGGTATTAAATCAATCACACTAACCAAATGCAAAGGAGAGAAGAACCGCTTCAGGGAGCCACCGCTCATGACGCCAGCAATCGTGGCTGGCCGCTGCAGCCTCAATGGTATTATTTTTTTGTCTTTTTTTGTTTTGTGAGCAGCAGATGAAATTAAAATTGCAAAAACTATTCAAATGTCAACGAGGTATACATACACCACAAATATAAGCCGAGTTAGTTACACAGCGGCAACGCGATCACACGGGGGGGCGGAAGTCTGAGGTATTATGCTCTCTACAGACGTATTATTGGAATTATATTTGCAAATATATCAAATAAATAAATAAAAAAAACACGAAAATCACAAAATTTTGCAGCTTTCCTCCCTCTTAAGCGAGTGTTGTATGTGCGGTCATTAGCATCTCTTCTGCCTCCTTTCCTTTCTCAGGAATATTCATATATAGTACTACTACTGTGTAGTAATAGCATTGATACTGTATAATATTAATATATCTTTTTCTACATCAGAATATAAAATTAAAATGAATTGCATGCAGCTGCAGGCAGCTACAGTAAGAACGCGCTCGTCGTTGTTCAGGTTTCTTGTAGTTTCTCTCAGTTGCATTCACAAAAAAAAAAAAACGAACTCTGCAGTGAAGTGTTTATAATTATAACAATCAACTGAATCATAAGGGCCCCGTGTAAGGTTTATTTAACCATAAGGAGTATACGGAGAAATAAATAAGAGGCAGAGAGGTGCTGTGCTGCTGCGAAGCACCTTAAAGCTGCTAGCAGTAGCAGCAACAGCAGCAGCAAGAATAACAAAGGATAGCAGCAGTAGCAGCAGCAACAGCAGCAGCAGCTGCAGCGGTAGCAGCAGCTATTTTCTCTGCCTGTATGCTTCGGATGCTTAGTTCTGGTTGTATTTACATTCACTTATTTACTGTATTTATTCAAAAATAAAGAAAGCTGCAGCAGGCGATCTGCAGCACAACGCCGAGCAGTTGATCCTGCAACGAAACTTCAGAGTTTCTCGTCAACACTGAAACATATTTCTGTCTAAACTTGCAAAC